AAAAACCCTTTTGTTGCACATTCAAAATCCTTCTCGCCTCTAACCCTAACTTCCTTCAAAGGACTCTAAATCAATCACAGAAAGGGAGAAAGGATAGTGACACTTCGATTAACTTAAAATCAAAAGTTCGTGTACATTACCTGATTTTGGTTTCGAAAGACTTGATGTAGAGATCCCCAGTTGATACTGCAGGAAACGCACAGTAAAGCTTTTCGCAGAAGTTTTGCAGGAAAAGAAATGCAAGTAAACCTCTTTCTGCAGAAAAAATGCCTATTTATACTTCTGGGTAAAATTAGATCTCAACGGTTGAGATTCGTTTAATCTTACGGTTCCTGTTGACACCGTTTGGAATTCGATGGACAACCATAAACGATACCGTTTTCGATTCGACGGTTCGTTTTTTAAATTTTGCCCGTTTAACTGTTGCAGTTATCTTTTTACGGCCGCATTTATTGCACACGTCATTCCAAGGACAACTGTCAGACTTTTCAGATGGGCCCATTTACGCCCATTTCAACACCTTCGTTCACTTTCGCATATTCTCAATTTTTCAAGTGTTTCACTTCGGCTCCGACCACAATAATCATACATTACATTTCACATCGACTTCGGCCGCAGTGATCCAGTATCACACATTTTATTTCGGCTCCGGCCATTATGACTCCGCTCATTATATTTTATTATGACTCCGGCCATTCTGACTCCCATCTTTATACTTAAGCCTGGCTCAGCACTTCTGTTTACTTATACAATTACGCTTTTTAACTGGCATAGTGTTTTACTTTGGCTCCGGCCACAGAGAACACATGTTTTACTTCAGTCCTGGTTACTGTGACCACATCACATACTCTACCTCGGCTCCGGCCATTATGACTCCGGTCATCATATTTTATTACGGCTCTGGCCATTATGACTACGGTCATCATATTTTATTACAGCTCCGGCCAGTATGACTCCGGTCATCATTTTCCATCACGGCCCTAGCCTCTATGACTCCAGTCATCATTTTTTATTATGACTCACTATTACATATTACATTATTAGCTACGGCTATGACTACATTTACGTTGCAAATTTCTTCCTTATACTTCCATGACTTATCCGTATTCTCTTTGTTCACACAATCCCCTCATCATCCCCAGCAACATCATTCACAAGTGAATGACTTCGGCAGGGGAATAGTGTAAGGACAAGTCCGAGGTGCCAAGCCTCGGATGCTACAGTAATTCCTTTATGACCGAAGTGAGGAATGAATCCAAAGCTTCCCGCTCAAATAGCTGCATGATAATGACAATAAGCATGTCCGCACCTGATTCCTTATGATGAGTGATACAGCAGGTATGGTGGACACCCGTGCATCTGAATACCTCTCAAATTCCCGGTCCCGGAATAATCGTCTGGATGGACACGTCAGGCTCCGATTATCTTGCTTGGCATGACACGTGGGTTCCTCATTGGATCCTATAAATACCCCCCCGAGCCACGTCAAAAAGGTAATTGAAACCTACCCTAAGCTCTTTTTATCTCCGCCCTAAAGGTAGCTCCGATTATTGCTGACTTAAGTATCGGAGTGTTTACCCCGAGTTCCACCTCGGGGCTTTGTAGGTCATCCAGGAGTGCAAGCGCGGACTGAAGAAGGACTTCTGGCTTGGTGCAATTACAACATCACGTTTAAGCATAACATAATATTGTTTTGTAATTTAAACTATATCAAATTATAAAACAAGTATTGTAAGATGAAGATAGCCCCAATACTAAGAAACCCGCCATTCGTTCAACATTTAACTTGTGTATTTCAAACTTTACAATGCTTTTTCATTTTAAGAATTTATTATTTTGCAATCAGTTTGTAAAATAAAAACTTTAAAATAAGAGAATGAGAGAAAATGTTATAATATTAAGAGATTTACTTCTTATTTAAAAGTTTCTATTATACAGTTTGATATAATTTTAGTACAATAGTTTTTCGTTAACTTTAAGCATATATGAGAATATAAATGTAGAAGTACATCATTCACAACATCATATATCACAGAAAATGGAAAGAGGCAAAGATAGATGGCTGCAAAGGAAAACGAAAGGAGGAGGGGAAGGAAAGATGTGGAGAAAGAAAGATTCTTTTCTTTTTTTTCTTTTTCTTTTTTTTTTTGTCTTTTTGGAGAGGCAAGAAAGAAGGAAAGAGGTGGAGAAGTAAACGTTTGGTGAAGATAAAGAGGAAAAAGAAACACAAGAACAATGGGCTCCGTTAAATTTTGGAAAGCAAGTCCACCATGGCCTGACGTGGACGACACCGGGCCTGCAAAGCCTTGGCCTTGGGCATGGTAAGCCCAGTCCCCTCAGTCATGTCCACCATTTCCTCACCAATCCTTTCCCACTCAAAGGCTTGAATAACTGAAGCGAGCGTCAGTCCAACCATCCGCGTGGCCAATCCCTCTCCTGGACAGCCCCTCCGCCCCGACCCAAATGGCATCAACTTGAACCCATCTCTGTTTCCTTCCAAACCTTGGAACCTCTCCGGCTTAAATTTCTCCGGCTTCTCCCATATCTTGGGATCGTTGTGTATGGCCCACAGGTTCACCAACAACATTGTGCCGCGTGGAATTCGGTAACCTCCAACAAAGCATTCGTGTGATGATTCATGTGGTAGCAATGGAGCCGTTGGGTACATCCTCATGGTCTCATTTATGATGCAACGAAGATAAGAAAGCTTACCCAAATCTGACTCTTCAACCAAACGACTGCTCCCCACCACGTTATCCATTTCCTCCTGAGCCTTCTTCAGTGCCTCCGGATTGTTCAAAAGAAGTGACATTGCCCACTCCATTGTACCTGCCGATGTGTCAGTGCCTGCTGCTAGCAAACCCTGTATTTGC